CAAAAATATCCATGCATGCCAACTGCAGTTTAGCTAAGGTGTAACTATAAGACTACTCTACTTAAAACTACAGCGAATAAGCCATAAACTAAACTGTTTGAGGTTCTTAAAATAGACTGCATGAGTGTGTGTATATATGGATGATTTCTATCTTCTTTGTTATGTTTTTGTCCACTATACTGGGACAGCTGCTGTATAAAGCTGGCTGGCAACACTGACAAATGGCCCATTGGGTGGCAGAAATCAGAGTACTTCCCACAGCAGTTTAGGCTTGTGATCTTGATTAAATCACAGAGTATGCATGAACATACTGGTATATAATCTGGTCTTTAGCAGGTGATAAAATCAGGTAAATACAACATAAAAACCTTGACATATTAGATTGTATCATTTTTTATTAAAAAACAAACAACTATATCAAAATGTTGAAGCAGTGGGTGAAAAAACGTGTGCAACGTAATTGCAAATTTTTAGAGCAGTACAACATTTAAAGTAGCATTTAGTACAATATTGCATAGTAAGAGCTTTTATTTTTATGATAACAAAGATAAAAAATAAAATCCACAGTGCAGAGTGTGCTTGAGAAACTGTCGGACAGTTTCTGTGTGCATCAGGTGTGCACTAAGAGAGTGCCAAAGAGGAAAAACATCAGTGTGCTTAATCTTAAAGAAGGGTTATTAAATCATTTCCAAATAATTTAAAGTCCATCGTTCAGTCCATCATTTACTGAGAAAGACTATTCACAAGAGGAAAACATTCAAGGCAGCTGATGATCTTCCCAGGAGTGGAAGTCCAAGCAAAATCACCCCAAGGTCAGACTGTGCAACTGTAATAAACCCAAAAGCTGCATCTCAGACTCTGCAAGCCACAGTTAGCATGTTAAATGTTAAAGTTCACGACAGCACAATTAGAAAACGACTGAACAAGTTTGGCTTGTTTGGAAGGGTTGCCAGAGAAGTTTCTTCTCTCTAAAAAGAACTTGGCAGCATAACTTACGTTTACAAAGTTAAATCTGAACAAACCATAAGACCTCTGGAACAATGGCCTTTGGACAGACAAGACCCAAGTGAAGATGCTTGGCAATAAGGCACAACACCATTTTTGGAGAAATCTAAACACAGCATATCAGCATAAACACACTGTAGCGCAGTGGAGGGATAATGATTTGGGCTTGTTTTGCAGCAGCAGCAGGACCTGGGCACCTTGCAGTCATTAAGCTGACAATGAAGTCCTCTGTACTTCTAGTTGTCTGTACTCATTTGACTACTCTAGAGTCAAATGTCACAATAGCAAATCTACAGCAGAATGGCTGAAAATTAACAAAGAATAAAGAAAGGTATTGCAATCCGGTTGTTCAGTCTGACGTCACTAGCCGTGTCTGGGTCTAAACTCCGCTGCAGGTCCATATATCAAACGATCACTGTGGCATTACTGAGAGTTGAAAAACTGTCTAAAGTCTTTCATCTTTAATAAAATGATCAGCGTTCTGCTCTACCAGGTGTAACAATTGAGTTTAACATCCAGGCATCCATGAAAACGGAATTTATGACATTTAACAGAGTTAGAAGTTAGCAGGGAGTTAGCGCTAGCTTCTATCTAAATACAATATAGCATGTCCTGACTGCGGGGTTTTGGAAACAAATTAAAACGTACAGCTCTGTTATCACTTCCAGCATAAATGAAGACAGAAAACTAAACAGCAGTAACGTTTGTAGGGTTACTGAAGTTGGGCTAGCTGGTATATAATGATGTTGCGTGACCGCTAGCGACACAGCTACGTTAGCATAATATAAACAAGCTAACTTTTTTTTCCACTCGATAAAAGTTACCGTGAGTGTTCTCGGTGGTCAGGAACAAATGTAATCGCATGGCAGATGCTGTAAAAGGACCAAACTTCAGCCAGGAGAACAACTGAGATAATCCATCCACAATACGAGGTTAGTCATTCATATACTGCTGCATGGGCTGGGCTGTAGTTACACCCTAAGGTTTTAAAAACTGAGCTTAAATAAATGATTAGCGGTAATAAAAGCCAAGGGAGGTCAACAGTGATCACTGACTGTTTTAGGAGCTTTTTGAGATCAAATAGAAGAAAATACATAGCATTAAACATGTAACAACACAAAAGCCATATAAACGCAGACTACTTTAGACCCGGAAGTAGGATTCGTCGCGTCATCACTGAACAACCGGATGGCCCTGTAAAAGGCCTCAGACCTTAGCCTGAAATGGTATTATGGGAAAGCTGTGCACTAACAATGCCTGGAAACCTGAATAAAATAAGCAACACTGAAGGAGATTTCCTGTACGATACCAAATTAAGCTAGGCAAGAAGGGAAGAAATGGCATTCCTACTGCTCACATAGACAGAGAACCACATAGATGAGGAAGAGAGCAGTGGGAAAACAGGGAATAAGAAGTCAAACCAAGGACAACAACAAATACAAAGTATTGAATTTAGTTTTTTATTAATAATCCACAGCCTTTAGAATCTATTGCATTTGCAGATAATTGAGACATATTTCCTCTGGAGCTGTGTATTTATGTGGACTCATAACACAGACCAATGATTCTTGGAATATCCAGTTAAATGGAATGACATGTGATACATCTTCAACAAGTAATTGGGTTCTGCAGAGCATGTTCCTTTTTATGTGTCCTTGGATTAAGCTTAACGATGTC